GAGATACAACAGGGAAAGGGAAGTGGAAAACACTGGTTCATGTAACTTCACAAAAGTCAGATCATAAATGTAATGGATGACTCTCCCGTAGAAGGCAACAAGCTTAAGAGGATCTTCAGAGGGTAAGAAAAAATTGAGAAAGAACCCCCCTTCCCCCCTAAAAAAAAAAAAAAACTGGAGATTATCTTGTATGATGTAGACAGCAAGAGAATTGTAGAGGGTTAACAAAGATGACTGATGCTTCAGTATCTTTGCCCAATATCACTAGCATGATCTGTATTCAGGAGTGACAGTCCACTTAAAAGTCTCCCAGGGAGACCCCCCCTTATCTAAGAGTAAGTAAGTTTATTCAGGTATACACAAATACAGTTACACAGAATTATCATACATAGCAGCATATGTGTAGAGAACCTAGGATAACCCAAAAAAGTCAGACAGAGTGACTTATTTCCATTGGGGTCCTTGATCAGACTGTGATAAGAAAATTTACTAACTTGATGAATGCCAGACAAACTTATGAAATTACAGAGGCCCAGGAATGGATGAAATCAACCAGTGATCCCACTCAGTAAGGTCTACTTGGATAACAGAGTGATCCAATCAGGCAACAAGTCAGGGCATAAAACAACCGTTGCACAGTATGAACAATGCACAGGAATGTGTGTTTGCACCAGTGAATGATTGAATGGTTAGCAGAGCATGTGAGCTGTTACCAGATGTAACAGCAAGTGTCAATTATTACATGAGATGTAGATGATAGTATTGGAAAAATGGGGAAGCACTGAGTGTAGATTTAGCCTGTTTTCTATAATGTTGGTCAGGAAAACTGTGATAACAAATTGGACAAAGTCACCTGCATTACCAATTATCGACAATGCTTTTGCCACTCGACACTGTCAGAGCTGGAAAACCAATGTTGATCCACTCTAAAGTTAACACATAAAACTGCAATGTTTATAAAAACTGCTAATGAAAGGCATTACTGCAAGGTCTCTTGTTATTTTTTGCCTGTTATTATTCACCTTACTCTTCCCTCCAACAGGGAGGAGCAAGGTAAAAGGCCATAATAATGATGTAAATTCTCCAGGTAAGGTCTTATCCCTTATTCTACTATAGGATCAAAACTAACAAGCAAAATCCCAAAAGCAAATACTCAGCCACAAGACTACCTCACTGGCAATTACCCACATACTCTATATATAGCACCAACAAATACTACTGAAGCCTCACTAATAATTAAATCTTTAAAAAGCAAGGCAGGAGACCTAAATAACTTGCCACCAATCATGTATAAAAAAGCAGCTCATGTGCTGTCTGCCATTAGTGCAACACTATTTAACAAATCTACTGAATCTTCAACATTCCCATCCATGTTCAAGACAGCAAGGGTCGCCCTGATCCTCAAAGGAGGCAATCCTACAAAACTAAATAACTACAGACCAATTTCTAACTTGCCTTTGCTCTCTAAAATCTTTGAAAAAATAATACATAAACAAATCTACTCCTACCTCCTATCCCATGACATATTGAACTGCCAGTTTGGATTTAGGCCAAAAAGAAGTACAAATGATGCAATTATTCAGATGCTCAAATTACTATATAAACTGAAAAAAGTGAATGTCCTCTGGGGCTCTTCACAGACCTACAGAAAGCATTTGATACAGCAGACCACAATATATTGCACCTAAAACTAGAGCATTATGGGGTCAGAGGACACTCTCTCAATTACCTAAAATCTTATCTTAGTGGTAGACACCAGTATGTATACACAAATGGCATGAACTCCAGTAATCAGCCTGTAGTTATTGGAGTGCCACAGGGAAGTGTCCTAGGTCCTCTACTCTTTCTTATTTACATCAATGACTTCCCAAATGCATTGCGACTCCTTAAACCAGTTCTATTTGCAGATGACACCACTTACGTCTTCTCCCACCCAAACCTGGCTATTTATGTATTTTTATTTGGACATGATACATAGTTGTACAAAGAAATATAGTGATTGGGTGTACATGCCAAAAGCCCCTTGTATGCAGAGCATTATGGGCAGGCTTAAAAGTATCTTAGTAACACTGTAAACAGTAAGCTACATAAAATATCAAACTGGATGACGACCAACAAACTTACTCTCAATATAGACAAAACCTACTTCATGCTTTTTGGAAACAGAGCATTAAATATCCAACTAAACATATCGATAAATGGTTCACCCATTACAAGAGACACTGAGGGCAAATTTCTAGGTCTCCACCTTGACTGTAATCTTAAATTTCAGACCTGCATCCAGCATATAACTAAGAAAGTTTCCAAAACAGTGGGTATCCTTTCCAAGATATGATACTATGTACCCGAAAGGGCACTCCTTACTTTATATCATTCTCTAATATACCCTTACATCACCTATGGTATTTGTGCTTGGGGATCTACCATGGCCAATCACCTTAAACCTTTAATAATCCAACATAAAGCAGTGGTGTGGATGATCACATACTCCAGTGCCAGACAACACACCCCACGACTCCTCAAAAGCTTGAACTTAATATAGAAAATATACACACTTATTACTGTGCCTACTATATATACATAACATTAAACTCCAATATCAACCCTCCACTCAACCTTCTCCTAGACAGCTTCAACAGGACACACAGGCATAACAAGAGGTGCAAAAAACTTTTTGACATCCCTCATGTCCATCTCACACCATGCAAAAATGCAATGCACACATAAAAGGCCCGAAGATCTGGAACTCTTTGCCTGAAACAGCAAGAGGTCCCCTGCCCACAAATCAATTTAGGACTATACTCAAAAATCATCTCATCTCTCAGTAACAACCATACCCACACTATGGTAAACTCTAACCAAATTTAAAGTGACTCTCCCAAATATTTTATTATCCCTTACCTATTAAGCCATTATTACAGACTTAAAAATGTATGTTTGTATCATAAATTGTACTACCTCGTATGTATTAATAACAGAGTAAAATACTGAATATGTATTTGTATTCTACCACTCTTCACCTGTCTAGACTTAAGTAGTCTATAAGTATTAGGTTAAGTCTGCCTGAAATGCCTTGGCATGATAATGGCTTTCTTTATACCAGTCAAATTATAAAATGTCAACACACACTGTAACCTTAGCAAAGAAATAAAATTACTATATTCTATTTATTTTATTTTATAATGAAAGTGAGAAGCTGAATAGGGCTGGGAACCTACACAGCATTTGATGTTAGCAACCAAGGTGTCACTAGCTGTATGTCCCTTGTAGGTTTAGTGTTTAATTTAATTATAATAATAATAATAACAAAAAGATTAGGTGATGAAAGATTGGATATCAGATTGGAGGGAGAGAGTATGGAGGAGGTGAATGTATTCAGATATTTGGGAGTGGACGTGTCAGCAGATGGGTCTATGAAAGATGAGGTGAATCATAGAACTGATGAGGGGAGAAGGGTGATCGGTGCACTTAGGAGTCTCTGGAGACAAAGAACTTTGTCCTTGGAGGCAAAGAGGGGAATGTATGAGAGTATAGTTTTACCAACGCTCTTATATGGGTGTGAAGCATGGGTGATGAATGTTGCAGCGAGGAGAAGGATGGAGGCAGTGGAGATGTCATGTCTGAGGGCAATGTGTGGTGTGAATATAATGCAGAGAATTCGTAGTTTGGAAGTTAGGAGGAGGTGCGAGATTACCAAAACTGTTGTCTAGAGGGCTGAGGAAGGGTTGTTGAGGTGGTTCGGACATGTAGAGAGAATGGAGTGAAACAGAATGACTTCAAGAGTGTATCAGTCCGTAGTGGAAGGAAGGCGGGGTAGGGGTCGGCATACGAAAGGTTGGAGGGAGGGGGTAAAGGAAGTTTTGTGTGCGAGGGGCTTGGACTTCCAGCAGGCATGCATGAGCGTGTTTGATAGGAGTGAATGGAGACAAATGGTTTTTAATACTTGATGTGCCGTTGGAGTGTGAGCAAAGTAACATTTATGAAGGGATTCAGGGAAACCGGCAGGCCGGACTTGAGTCCTGGAGATGGGAAGTACAGTGCCTGCACTCTGAAGGAGGGGTGTTAATGTTGCAGTTTAAAAACTGTAGTGTAAAGCACCCTTCTGGCAAGACAGTGATGGAGTGAATGATGGTGAAAGTTTTTCTTTTTCGGGCCACCCTGCTGTGGTGGGAATCGGCCAGTGTGTTTTAAAAAAAAAATAATAATAGATGGCACTATTGTACTTGCATACCGGAAAGGTAAACAAATGATTTTACTGGGCATAAAAGTGGTTACTGGTGATATAGAGGTTAAATTAACAGGTGGTTGTTTATATGTTGACCCATGGAACCTGATCATAGAAAACATCTCTAACTGCAAGTTGACTAAATGTTTTTAAAATTTAGGAGAAAACTTAATGAACACAGATATCTGGAAATAATTAACTGGAAAAATAAGAGTTCTATAAACTACCAAGTGTAGTTTTGTGGATTTGCATAAAAGATACTGCACTACCTTTTAGATAAAATGGCATTAAGTTCATGGCCAATGGGGAAACACTAGTATAATTTTAAAGGAAATATTGTTGGACAAAGATAAATAAAAAAAAAATTGCATAAATACTTACATTATTTAGGACTCAGAAAACACTTGATGAACTCAGGAATATAGTGACAATGTCAACATGTAAAGAAAATGAATGAGGAATATATGTTGAATGGAAAAGAATACCTATAAAGTAACCAATGTTCAGTGGGTGAATGTAGTGATATTCCTTTATGATGACAAATAGAATGTGTGGTATTTGCTGTAAGTTTTTCCAGTGTATGTAAACATGGAAAAATGAGAGTTCATTTCAACATGTTGAAATAGTTGCAACATCTTGTTACAATTTGTACCACATTTTATATTTCCAAATTTAAAATGGATCATTCACTAAAATAATTAATAAGCACAGAATAAGTACTGAATATGATTTCCATGAATATTGTACTGGAGTGGCTCTTGCCTATATGACTCACCTTTCAGAATCTGCTGTTTCCCCAGCATCTGGTCTTTCAAGGTCATCCTCCTCTGTGAAGGCATGACTGTCAGCACCATCTGAGAACTCATGCCCACCACTACCTAGTCTGTCTGAGCCACGTCCACTCGCTGACCCGGTCCCACTCCGCTGCTCGGAGGCTGTCTATATCGACCGTATACGAAACCCATTCCACCATTGTCTGCTCTACCTCTGCAATGTTAATTGTAAAAGTTAAATTACAAACTTGACATGACACTATCAATGAATGATTAATTAGGGCCAGTAAGTAACAAAAAATTACTGAAGATATTTATTTTGAGATACTACAGTAAAGTTTTTAAGAGATTGAAGGTTCTTTTTTTTTACAAGGATAAAGCAACTCTAGAGTGCAAATGCTGTAAACTACTTTTTATAGGGTTTAAAGCTGAATTAAATGTTTGCATATATAACAAAATTAATGTGAAACAGTGATCAATGAGATCTGGTTGATGATAAAGATCAAACGGGAATCCACTGTGAGAGATCACGTAAAATAAGAAAAATTTTAATCATTACTTATAGCTATCTAGAATACTGAATACAGCAACAGCAGCAGTAGTAATAGTAAAAGTAGTAGTAGTAGTAGTAGTAGTAGTAGTAGTAGTAGTAGTAGTAGTAGTAGTAGTAGTAGTAGTAGCAGTAGCAGTAGTAGTAGTAGTAGTAGTAGTAGTAGTAGTAGTAGTAGTAGTAGTAAAGAAATGGCAGAAAATTAAAGGCCTGGCTAAATGTCAGCATCAACAAGTGCCATGCATGTCCAAGCTGCAAGGTGAGGAGACACACAAGTAATGCAAGGGTAGGCACCATTACTGACCTTTCTGTGATGCATGTTCACATTACAGTACTGACTTGGTTAACATTTTGAAACACTATTTAAATAGAAACTGATACAATACACAAGCAAGAATTAGTTGCCATCATTAAATATTTATATCCCTTATATCTAGGCATGAATGTATATGTATAAACATGTATGCATGTGTGTGTGTGTGTGTACTCACCTAGTTGTACTCACGTAGTTGAGGTTGCAGGGGTCGAGACTCAGCTCCTGGCCCTGCCTCTTCACCAACCGCTACTAGGTCCTCTCTCCCCCTGCTCCATGAGCTTTATCATACCTTGTCTTAAAACTATGTATAGTTCCTGCCTCCACTACATTGCTTGCCAGACTATTCCACTTCCTAACTGCTCTATGACTGAAGAAATACTTCCTAACATCCCTTTGACTCATCTGTGTGTGTGTGTGTGTGCACATGTGTGTGTGCATGTGTGTGTGTGTGTGTGTGTGTGTGTGTGTGTGTGTGTGTGTGTGTGTGTGTGTGTGTGTGTGTGTGTGTGTGGTGTGTGTGTGTGCATGTGTTGTGTGGGTGGTGCATGTGTGGTGTGTGTGTGTGTGTGTGTGTGTGTGTGTGTGTGTGTGTACTCACCTCACCTAGTTGAGGTTGCGGGGGTCGAGTCCGAGCTCCTGGCCCCGCCTCTTCACTGATCGCTACTAGGTCACTCTCCCTGAACCGTGAGCTTTATCATACCTCTGCTTAAAGCTATCTATGTATGGATCCTGCCTCCACTACATCACTTCCCAAACTATTCCACTTACTGACTACTCCGTGGCTGAAGAAATACTTCCTAACATCCCTGTGATTCATCTGTGTCTTCAACTTCCAACTGTGTCCCCTTGTTACTGTGTCCAATCTCTGGAACATCCTGTCTTTGTCCACCTTGTCAATTCCTCTCAGTATTTCGTATGTCGTTATCATGTCCCCCCTATCTCTCCTGTCCTCCAGTGTCGTCAGGTTGATTTCCCTTAACCTCTCCTCGTAGGACATACCTCTTAGCTCTGGGACTAGTCTTGTTGCAAACCTTTGCACTTTCTCTAGTTTCTTTACGTGCTTGGCTAGGTGTGGGTTCCAAACTGGTGCCGCATACTCCAATATGGGCCTAACGTAGACGGTGTACAGGGTCCTGAACAATTCCTTATTAAGATGTCGGAATGCTGTTCTGAGGTTTGCTAGGCACCCATATGCTGCAGCAGTTATTTGGTTGATATGCGCTTCAGGAGATGTGCCTGGTGTTATACTCACCCCAAGATCTTTTTCCTTGAGTGAGGTTTGTAGTCTCTGGCCCCCTAGACTGTATTCTGTCTGCGGTCTTCTTTGCCCTTCCCCAATCTTCATGACTTTGCACTTGGTGGGATTGAACTCCAGGAACCAATTGCTGGACCAGGTCTGCAGCCTGTGCAGATCCCTTTGTAGTTCTGCCTGGTCTTCGATCGAGTGAATTCTTCTCATCAACTTCACGTCATCTGCAAACAGGGACACCTCAGAGTCTATTCCTTCTGTCATGTCGTTCACAAATACCAGAAACAGCACTGGTCCTAGGACTGACCCCTGTGGGACCCCGCTGGTCACAGGTGCCCACTCTGACACCTCGCCACGTACCATGCCTCGCTGCTGTCTTCCTGACAAGTATTCCCTGATCCACTGTAGTGCCTTCCCTGTTATCCCTTCTTGGTCCTCCAGTTTTTGCACCAATCTCTTGTGTGGAACTGTGTCAAACGCCTTCTTGCAGTCCAAGAATATGCAATGTGTGTGTGTGTGTGTGTGTGTGTGTGTGTGTGTGTGTGTGTGTGTAATCATCTAACTGATGTTACAGGATTCAAGTCTCAGCTCCTGGCCTTCCTCTCTGTTGGCTGCTACTGGGTTTATACTCTTCTGGCTGCATAGCCCCATTGTGTCTATTCTCAAAGCTATGAAACAATTTTGCCTCTTCCACTTCACTGTTTAGTCTCTTACTTCCTGACCACTCTAAGGCTAAAGAAGCATTTCTCATATGTATGTGTGTACTCACCTATTTGTGGATGCAGGGGTTGAGACACAGCTCCTGGCCCTGCCTCTTCACTCATTGCTACTAGGTCCTCTCTCTCCTTGCTCCATGAGCTTTATCATACCTTGACTTAAAACTATGTATGGTTCCTGCCTCCACTACATCACTTGCCAGACTATTCCATTCCTGCCAACTCTATGACTAAAGAAATACTTCCTAACATCTCTTTGACTCATCTGAAGCTTCAGCTTCCAATTGTGACCCCTTGTTTCTGTGTCCCCTCTCTGGAACATCCTGTCTCTGTCCACCCTATCAATTCCTTGTAGTATTTTGTATGTCGTTATCATGTCTCCCCTAACCCTTCTATCATCAGGCCAATTTCCCTTAACCTTTCTTCGTAGGACATTCCCCTTAGCTCTGGAACTAATTTTGTTGCAAACCTTTGCACTTTCTCTAATTTCTTGATGTGCTTAACCAGGTGTGGGTTCCAAACTGGTGCTGCATACTCCAGGATGGGCCTGATGTACACAGTGTACAGTCTTGAATGATTTCTTACTGAGGTATTGGAACACTATTCTTGAGTTTGCCAGGTGCCCATATGCTGCAGCAGTTACCTGGTTGATGTGCACCTCAGGAGATGTGCTTGGTATTATACTCACTCCAAGATCCTTTTCCTTGAGTGAGGTTTGCAGTCTTTGGCCACCTAGCCTATACTCTATCTGCGGTCTTCTTTGCTTTTCCCCGATCTTCATGCTTTTGCATTTGGCGGGGTTAAATTCGATAAGCCAGTTGCTGGACCAGGCTTTCAGCCTGTCCAGGTCTCTTTGTAGTCTTGCCTGATCCTCATCTGATTTAATTCTCCTCATTAACTTCACATCATCTGCAAACAATAACATTTCTGAGTCTATCCCTTATGCCATGTCATTCACATATTCAAAAAACAGCACTGGTCCTAGGACTGACCCCTGTGGAACCCTGCTCGTCACAGGCACCCACTGTGACACCTCGTCATACCATGACTCATTGTTGTCTCCCTGTCAGGTATTCTCTGATCCATTGCAGTGCCCTTCCTGTTATGTGTGCCTGATCCTCTAGCTTTTGCACAAATCTCTTGTGAGGAACTGTGTTGAAGGTCTTCTTGCAATCCAGGAAAATGCAACCTGCCCACTCCTCTCTTTCGTCTTACTTCCATTACCTTGTCATAAAACTCAAGTAGGTTTGTGAAACAGGATTTTCCTTCCTTGAATCTGTGCTGGTTGTTGTTTATAAGCTTGTTCCATTCCAGGTGCTCCACCACTCTCCTGATAATCTTCTCCATGACTTTGCATACTATACACATCAGTGACACTGGTCTGTAGTTTAGTGCCTCTTATCTGTCTTCTTAAAAATGTTTGCCATCTTCCATACCTCAGGTAGTTGCCCAGTTTCAATGATATGTTGAAAATTTTTGTTAGTGGCACACACAGAATCTCTGCTCCCTCTCTAAGGACCCACAGAGAGATGTTGTCTGGTCCCACCACCTTTGAGGAATCAAGTTCACTTAGCAGCTTCTTCACCTCCTCTTCAGTTGTGTGTATTTCTTTCAGCACTTGTTGGTATATCCCTTGTTGGTGTACCCCTCTATTCTGACCTCTCAGAGTCCTTTCTGTTACCACTGTAAATACTTCCTTAAATCTCATGTTGAGCTCCTCACATACTTACTGGTTGTTTCTTGTGAGCTCCCCACCTTCCTTCCTCAGCCTGATGACCTGGTCCTTGACTGTTGTCTTCCTTCTGATGTGGCTATACGACAGCTTCAGGTCTGACTTGACTTTCAATGCTATGTCATTTTCGTAATGTCGCTGGGCCTCCCTCCTTGTCTGTGCATATTCATTTCTGGCTCTTCGACTAATCTCTTTATTTTCCTGGGTCCTTTTCTTCTGTATTTTTTCTATTCTCTAGTGCACTTAGTTTTTGCCTCCCTACACCTTTGGGTAAACCAAGGACTCATTCTGGTCTTCCCATTATTTCTGTTGCCCTTAGGAACAAACCTCTCCTCTGCCTCCTTACATTTTGTTGTCACATAGTCTATCATTTCGTTTACTGATTCTCCTACCAATGCTCTTTACCACTGAACCTCTTGCAGGAAGCTCCTCATGCATGTGTATTCACCCCTTTTAGTAGTTTGGCTTTAATCCTACTCTTGTTACCCTCTCCACTTGTAACTCTATATATTCAAAGCTCAGGACTACATGATCACTAGCTCTGAGGGGCCTTTCATATGTGATGTCCTCGCTGTCCGAACTGCTCAGGGTGAATACAAGGTCTGGTCTTCCTGCTTCATCCTCACCTCTCTCTCTGGTATTATTATTATA